GGATTGGTGTTTGGTCGACTGGCTCGGGAGTGAATATCATGCTGCAGGGATCCGCAGAACTAATCATGTGGGAAAATGTCGCCGGTCGGCGAGGGTAACGACTGGAACACACTGAACACTAGCGTTTAGTCAACTAACGATTTTAGTTTAAAACTGTGTATAGTAAAATGGAACAGAGCAAATGTCAAAAAATCCATAATGTTGTAATTTAATTAAAAAAAAAAAAAAAAACAAACAAACTGAGGTATAAGAATACATCCAATTTCAATAAGGATTAGAACCTGGTTAAGGTTCTGGCGCCAGTTAGGTCCAGGTGAATATGTCCCGGAAGGGATACCAGTGGCCCGTGACGTCTACATGACCATGAACCACGTGAATAAAAACCTTGTGAATGCACTTTACAGGGCACACTCTACCACACTTAAAGAATGTTAAAAAAATGTATCTTCCCCAAAAAAATATGTAAGTTTATCCAAAGCGACATATATTTTTGAGAAGGTAGGATCAGCCTGCCCCTGGAGCAATTGGGGTTAAGGGCCTCGCGGGGGGGGGGGGGGTGAAACAGTGAAATTGCTTTGCCAACCCTGGGATTTAACCCAGCGACCTTCTGACATTAGGGGCAGCGCCCTAACCCACTGATCCGCACCATAACCACCCTGCTGGTATCAGTTTGAGTGTGTTCTGACTGCACACCAGCATGTGCTGAGAGGTTCCACAGAGAGCATCAACTCCACCTTAAACTCGTGTTTGCAGACGTTAATCTGAAAATAGACGTGCCAGAACTGACCCCCTTATTCCCCCGGGACGTGCGACTCCATAAATATTAACACACATATGGTCCCTGCTGGTATCCGGGCCGGACGGGGCCTCCTCCCAGGGTCACGGAACTCCGCAAAGCCCCGCCTCCTCGTGCATATCAACCGTCACATGACCCTCGCTGGGCCGAAAACTCCTGAGTCACTTTAGCATCCTTCAGCCTGTCTGCAGAGGGGGTGAGAAAGCAACTGCCATTTCAGGCGACAGGGGGAGGGGGTGCTGTTCGGGGTGGGGGATGGACAAAGCTGACGTTTCCTGTGAAGGTCAGTCTGTCACTGACACCAGACCCTCTCAGCGCTGAGTCAGCGCTGGCAAGTGTGATTCGAGCAATTCACCCCCCCCCCCACAATGTGCTCATCTCTTTTTCCCGGCGTGCGATAAATCAAACCTATGATCCATCAGTCTAATGACACATTAATGCCCCCTTCAGGTCCGGAGGTGCGATAACGAGTCATCATCGTTTGTGAGTTATCGCCGAGAGAAACCCAAATGTCCATCAGGTGGCGACTCTGCTTCTGAAGAGCATTTACGTTTTATTGAGTTTGCTGTCCCTTATCCAGAACTCAGGGTCAGCCAGTGCCGGGAACAGTTGGAGGTTAAGTGCCTTTCCTTGAATTACCATTCCCACAGTGGGATTGGAACCTGCAACCTCCCAGTCATAGGGACAGTATCCTAACCCACTGAACCACACATTGCTCCTGATAAATTCATTTAGATACCATCATGTTGTGCTTATTAATCACAAACACCAATTAAAAGTGCAGTTCTATTTATTTTATACAAAAATATTATACAAAATCAGAAAGCTGTGCTCCCACGTGTGAACCAGGACCCTGTCTTAGTTAGCTGGTCAATCGGTTTGCCTCTGACTGACGTCTTTCAGTGGTTCACCGCTCCTGGCTCTGGTACGCAGATGGCTCCGAGCCACAAAGCGGCGGTGCGCCTGATTGGACGAGCTCCACGCTGACACGCGCTCACAGCCACCGCGAGGCTGCAGATCTCACAGACGTAAGAAGGTCCGTGTCAATGCCCTTTGGCTGACGTGCAATATTCACTGATGTTTCCAAAAAGATGGAAAATATAGATGAATATGACGGAGTATTTAGCTGCTGTGATGGCCTGTTAGCGTCTGTTCTGCCATCGCACAGAAAGTAGGAGAATGGGGCCACTTCCTTCCTGGGAGGTGTCAGGTGACCCTCATTATCAGCTCTGATTGGTTCCTCATGCCACACCTGCTCAAGCAGTACACCCCCCTTATACCAGAGGAGTTGTCTTTGCAGGTGTCCCAGTATTACCCTCCCCCCCCATTCCCCTGGACCTATTCCTGGGTTCTATTCCTCCTTAAATGGCAGCTTTTAAGTTTGTTTATAAGAAGGTTTATTGAAGACCCCCCCCCCCCCCCATCACGTCATTCTGTCTTTCAGTTTGCAAATGTAATAAATGATTCCATCAAAAGCAAGACAGGACTGATTATCAAAATGACAAAATACTGCTCTGTGCATGAATGCACACATGAGCCTCAGTAGAGAACCCGGCGATGCAGACGTACAGCACCGATATAAAGCTGGCTTCTGGTGTTTTTGGGTACAGAAGCCTGGTGTGGTGGTACCGGTTCTGGGCGGCTTGGGTTACGTGTCTGGATGGGGGCAATTCTTATTTACTGGAGGGCCCGCCTGTCCAGTTTTCCACACCGTGACGGATTACAGGCGTTAGCATTCAGGGAGTAAGTCCTTGTGTTTTGATCGATTGCCCCCCCCCCAGGCGAGTGATCAAGCCCCACCCCTTTGCTGGCTCTCGCTCGGTGGGGGAATTCAGTGGTCCAGACGGGCCAACTTTTGATCTGAAATGCCTACCTTGAAACGACAGCTGGCTTGTTCGGACCTGAGTGCTGAAGGGGTTTCCGGGCTGTTCCGAACCCCTAAGAGCCGCCATCATTTCCCAGTAGCATCACTCATGCCTCAACATCTGTGACGGAGCAGTCAGGTCACCAACCGACCGCTACCGACATCGTCGATGCTAAGAATCAGCTCATGGCGATAGTGAGTTAGGGGAATCGAAACATCCATCCATCCACGTCCTGTGCAGGGCTTTTGGGATTCCAGAGTCCATGCCAGGACGCACTGGAGATGGCTGGAGAGTGCGTGATTTTGACTGAAGGGATAAACCAGAGTAAATGGAGGAAGCCAGTGAAATACAGGGAGAACATGAACACATCATCTGAAATCAGACAGTCAGGTTCACGTGGGACCACGAGGGACTCACCAATAACATTTAGGCACAAGAACAAAAGTGCACCAATCACAGTAGAGATGCTTAGTGCACTTTCTTTATTATGAAGAAAACACCAAGTGTCTCCGCCGCTCTTACAGTAAATGACAGTGTACAGTTGCTATTGCATTTTGAGATTTTGAGAGTGGTGATGGAACACAACTGCAACGCTTCTGGCTTCTTCTGCGTCACAATCGCAGTAAGCCGGCGCCCGGCCGCCTCGCCTGGTCAGCCACAAATCTCACTGCTGAAAGCCGACAGCTTCTTTTGCTGGTCAGAGGCGGAACGCTGACCTCGTTCCGCGCGGGAGAAAAGGCGCTTGGACTTTGTGCAGGAGAAGCGGTGTGATGAGCCTCAAACAAGCCCCCCCACACACATCAGGCTGATAAATCAGTCTCTCTAAGGAAACAGCCGCTCAGGGTACGACCTGCGGAGAGGGCTGGGTGTCACCTCGCAGGGACACGGTCAGACCTGCGGGCCCCAAGCAGGGGTCAGGTCCCCAAGCAGGGGTCAGGCCTAAGCTCAGTACCTCCATGCTGTGCGTACATCAATCAAACCCCATGCAGGACAACTTGGGTCACCATGGAAACATCACACAGGCTCTTCCCGAGATGTGTCATACAGCGATCATCTCAAAGTCGCTTTGCACCAGCGGCCCTTACGCAAATATGTTTCTGTGATTATAAATGAGGAACAGGAAAGGCAGAATGAAGTAAGAATTCAGTCACAGGAGAAACGTAGTAATAGTTTAAAGGTGTTTTCTGATGACCAAAGGAGTGAGTGTGTCTCGGATACTAAAGGCAGGCATGGATACAGGCACTTAACACGGGGGAATGTTCACCTTTCTTACGGCTGTGGGGTCACACAGCGTCAAATTTGGCTCTTGAGACTTAAACTGTCTACCAGTACGGAGCTTTCAGTAACTCCCAGTACAGTAATATGATACAGTAATATCATACATAGATTTCTGGTACATCGAATTCAACTTTATAGTGTTTTTTTTTGTTAAAAAATACGGTATATGGAAAAAAGTCAAATTGTATTATTGTACTGGGTTTCCAGTACCTCCCTGTATTGGGTTTCCAGTATCTCCCAGTACAGTGTTCCTTCAGTGTCACTCTGCAGTTGTTTAGGGATGGAGAGCTGTAAGATCGTTTACCAGCAACATCAACACCATCTGATAACCCACCCAGCCTGAATGGGGACACAGCACAGCCTGTGGGGGGGGGGGGGGGTAGCTGCACAGTGTCTGGCCTGCAGGTCCTCCCCCCCCGCAGAGACCCACATCTCCCCTCCCCCCTCGGCCACGCCAAACCAAGTCATCATCTGGGCTTCAGATGTATCCATCCAATCATGTACATTCTATTAATCTGCTGCCATCTCTCCTCTCTGCCCTCTTCCTAGTGCATCTCTCTAGCCTGTCATGGCAGTCTTTCCCTTTCCTTTGTTTAATTTCTGTTTGTTTAAATTTCGCCCTAATAAAAATGGAAGAATAACCGTGTGGGTAAGAACTGCATAAACTGTATATGCCCAGTGAATCAGCGAATTCAGAAAATGCCCCCCCCCCCCTTTTAATGGACTGTTCCATTGAAAGAACTCAACAAAATGACCAAACTTTGATCTCCTGCCTGTCTGTTGGCACTATGATTATGTACTGGGTTGCGCATTGTGTGAAATGAATACCAGTGAAAACTCAATTACATTTACAAAACCCAGAGGGGATAAACGTGTGTGATTCCAAGCAGCTGGGGTGAGACCATTTCAGGAAGGACGGGGGGATTACACAGCTCATCCTGCTTTCCTCAGAGCAGTGGTGTGGCTGATCTCCGGGAAGGACCAGACTTTAGAGGAATCCAGCTCCTCACACATGGGGGATGATGGG